AGAGAGAGAGAGAGAGAGAGAGATTGTGTGAATGTGTGTGTATGTAACAGATAGAAAGGGAATTTGATGAAAATTGGTGAAAGAATAGCTGATGTAAGATAAGATATGATAAGATAAGATCATACTTTTTTTTTATCCCAGAGAGAAATTGTTCTTGGCTGTACAGGACCGTACAAATACATGCCGGAATACATTAAAATTATATTACTCTCATTAAAATTCAATAAGAAAAGAGAAGTAAAGCTCACAAAATGTACATATCACATCAGATGCATCATTCACCCACAGGCAGGAATTTAATTACAAGTCCTCTGGAGTTATATATTAGTATTAGATACAAACTCGAAAGAGCAATACACATTGATACTTATTCTGACAATAGCCATATGCTAGACTTTAAAAAACGTCTTTTATATCTTTCTTTGTTTTTAGAGGTACATCTGCCGCTGCGTGATCTTACAATTTGCGTGGAAAGGGGTGTGATCGGTCGTTTATAATGCTTTTTATCTTAATGTAGAATGAGGAAAGAAGCATTGGAGAATATTGTAACAACAGGCAAGTTTGATGGAAAGAGAGGCAGAGGCATACAGAGGGAAAATATACTGGACAAGATGACAACATGGCTGGGAGCAGCAAGAACAACAGACACCATTGCTACAACGCAAGACAGAGTGGAGTGGAGGTCCATGATCGCCCACGCCAGTCGGCAAGGCACCGGATAATGATGAGAAAGACAGCCGAAGCACATACCTTCGTCTTCATCCCACTCCTCCTCAGCTATGGCTGGTTCTTGCCTCGGATTTGAACCCGTTTCCTGCGTGTATGTTTGTGACGTCATCGTGTTAGGTTGGCATACCTCTCACCTCTGGACACGAACCAGAACCCCTGACACTGTGAGAGAGAGGAAAAACAGTCAATTGTAGATGTTGTTGTACATAAATTAATATTATGTACTAGTTGAGCCCCCTTTCAATGAAAGGAATGATCGTTGCATTAACATCAACTGAAAGTCGTTGGCCTACTATATAATAATAATAATAATAGATAGCATTTGTATAGCGCATATCCCCACTCAACAGCAGGCTCTATGCGCTTTACACTATATTATTACCCAAGCAGACCATAGAACACTCCGAAACATTCTCAGCTTCCCGGGAAGAATACAGTGCAAGCAGCTGATTAAGCACTCAAACACAAACAAACTGACAATTTCACTCTCTACTGGAATAGAACAATAAATCTTGAGAGATGCAAAAAGTGAGACGGTCTAGATTTATACTCTCAAAACCAAATGCCCTTCGTGAAATATCACATCCGGCACTTCCGTTGTGATGAACAGCTACACGATTTCTTTCGTTTCTCAGGAATAATCACAACGGCCAAAGAAGGACGGGAACTTTTTGTAAAAATTATTTGTCTAATTTCAGAAAATGAATAAATAAAAGATCTGGCTCTGTCATTGGGACCTGTCTATCTTTTTGCAGGTACTTGCCAACTTTCAAATCTGTAGCTGTCGTAGTTTTATGGGAAAAGTGACACATGTGTTTCCAAGTTGTATATATAATAGATGTATAGCTACACAACCACACACTACATTCGGGGGCTCTCGTGGCCAAGGGGTTAAGGTGTTCGCCTTTCTTTCAAAGGTCCACAGTTCAAATCCGGGTAGCGACAGAAAAATGTTTTTCTCTAAAATTGTCTCCTTTCACATCCTTTCCTACTCTCTAGCAATGTTCTGTTGTCTGCTTTCGTTTCCACTTTCTGCCCCCACCCTCCTTTACCCCCTCCTCTACGCTCTTACCTCTTTCTGCAGCCTTTCTACTGCTACTTCTTCGCTCCTTCTTACTGCTGTCCTTTAGCCACACCCCTGATCTTCTGGTAGGAAATATTTACACCTGGACTTCTCAGACAAGGGCGAAAAATCTCGGAGTCCCGAGTGCAGGTTGCGCACGTTAAATATCCCTTGATGGTCTAAAATCCATAAGAGTAGGCTTCGGCCACCACCCGGGCAAAATTCCAAATTTCCTGCAAAACTGAAAAAGTGTAATGTGTCCTGTGCGCTCATATGATCTAATGCAGTTGCGATCTCCGTAAAACACTTACAAAAGAAACCCCCCCC